AGAATCACCAATCTTGTTCCTACTCAAATCCAAATTAGTCAGTACGGTATTGACTTTAATGGCATCAGAGAGCGAAGCAGCACCGGAATTACCAATCACGTTACTACTCAGATCCAAATTAGTCAATGCGGTATTGACTCTAATAGCATCAGAGAGGGAACCAGCACCAGGATTTCCAATCGAGCAATCACTCAGTTTCAAATGAGTCAAAGTGGTATTTACAGAAAGAGCTTCACAGAAATACTCAAAGTTCCGTGGTACAACACCGCGTAAATCTAAAGCCGTAATGCCAAGGTGGGAACCAAAAGTATGCAACAATTGCGATTGAAGGTTTTTGTTATGCGTTGCGCACTCCTTTATACAGTCAAACGCGAATTCCAGATTCCTACTTAATTGACTCTCGCCATTTATGTGTGCGGCCATGCTTTTTATAAGACGCACTGCGGTTTCTTTGCATCGTGAGACAACAATTCCACTCATGAACAAAAACGCTTGTTTCAGTTCATCTGAATATCTCTCATCAGTCACTACTGTGTCATGGTCAACTTCTCCGCTGAGAATCTTTGATGCGAGATAGAAACCACCAAAGAATTCTTGAAAGCTCTTGTGCATAAATCCATAACGCACAAAACGTTTTCTTCGACTACCTAGACTGACTTGGACTGATAAAAATCCAAACTTAGTTAAAAGACTTAAAACAGTCGAACTGCAATCAAATTTGCTTTTTTCAATATATAGCTCTCCTTCACATAGAGNTAGACTGACTTGGACTGATAAAAATCCAAACTTAGTTAAAAGACTTAAAACAGTCGAACTGCAATCAAATTTGCTTTTTTCAATATATAGCTCTCCTTCACATAGAGATTTCAACGCCATATGCCCCAGATGTATCAGCTCTTTCTCGTAAACGGTCATAAGGTCATCGTTAGTACTCGACAATTGGTTCTTCTCTTCATATCTTCTCAAAACACAGAGTACAATTTCAATGTACAATTGAGTCCTGCTCGTCGGAAAAAACCCCTTGAAATCCTCGCAAAGTAGACAAAGTAAAGTGGTGTTTAAAGGATTTGACATCATTTGGCGCAAGTCTCTAGATCCTGACCAAGGTCCAAGTTGTTTGAGAAGTTTTCTAGCCAAAGGCAAGTTGTTTTTAAAGTACTTGAGGATGAAACTTTCTGCATCTTCCGTAGTGAATCCCACAATTTCCCACAGAGTATCACAGAACCGCCTAAATTTCATTCCAATTTCATGTCTAGATGTAAGAACGATGCGACATTTAGAGAATTCTCTACCTTCAGCAAGTTTTAAGTACATGGCCAGTTTACTAGGGTCATCCACTTCATCTAAACCATCAAGTACTAACAAAACTTTGGACTGATTTTCACG